TTCAGCTAAACGTATGAGTTGAATCTCGAAGCTTTCGTAAAACTTTAAGACTATGTGCACGGACTAACGACAATACAAGATTCATTTGCATCGTAGAGTCAGACTCAAACTCTTACCTGGGCCAAGTCCTCTTCTTCGACTATCCCTTGAATGCTGTGGCCCCTTACATCCATATACGATTGTCGACTTGCCGCTGCCTTGAAAGAACCTAATCTGTTTTTGACCATCGTGATGATTATTTTCCCAATGATCAGAGTGCTTCGCAAAAGTTGTAGCTTGTAGTATGTACCCACAGATTAACAACCTTCTGCGATTTGATGTGCACACGTGAGTAGAACAGCGTCCATATACGTGTCGCTCTTCTGTTATACAATGTGCAGTTCTGTTTGAGCTTATATTGCAGTACACCTATGTAGTATTTATCTGCCGTGTTGTCTCCGAAGGGTCGCCCTGTAGGTCTACAATTGCGACATATCGTGTATATTTACTGTGTTGTTGTGTGCATGTTTATTTATATTTATTAGTGACGTATGTCTTAAAAAAATACAAGTTGCACACAGCACAACCAACGGGAATTTTTTCTAAAACAATATCCAAAATGATCTTTGCACACATTCCATAACAACAGGAATACCCAATAAAACATCAAATCTATTGTTTTACGTCACAACTGTTATTCAGCTTCCATGTCAGGAGTCAGTTTATTGGATGACACTGGGATCTAATTTATTACGTCACAGTTATGATCAGAAATCAGTGTTAAATTGGTTGAAACTATCAACATGATCCGACACGCACCCGACGGCCGACAGATCGCTACATACATGTATGACAAGGCCTATTTTTTAAACCTAATATCTATCGCACACGGGATAAAAACGGGATACGGAATGAACGTACACCTCTGTTTTTAGTCATTTCTATAAACTCGATCGACACCGTCCAGAGCAGAGAGGACGACTCATGCAAATAATACTCACTGTCATGGTTTATGACTGCTGCAACTCTCTAGAGTAGCGGGAAGGTTTTCTTTTAAACACAACCGACAGTTATATGTTGCACTGAATGAATATTGAATAAATACGTATGGAATTCTTCTTTTCCATACAACATCATAAAACTATTACTTTTAAATATTGTGGGGGTTTTTTTTAATTGGACATCTTGCCTCTCTCACAAGCGTAACAGTTGATTCGGTACAGTGCCGGTAAATATTCACCAAAAAACTGACCATATGTACTGCGACATTGGTTTCCTAGCCCATATGTATTTTAAATCACCGAATTAAAGGCAGTAGGAATTGAAAGTCCGCCTAACAATGTGTGCAGTTTTATATCACTTTTTACGAAGCTTATTCACTGATGTATGACCAATTTCTCCTGAGCAAACAATTTACTTCCTTTGTCTCCCGATGAAACACGAGAATCTCTTTATAAAATATGGAAAGACAAATGATTGCACACTTTTATTTCAAATCAGTTTGAGGCGAGGACATTAAGCATATGTGTATAGAACCTCATGAATAACCCTCAAGGGTGCGATTTTGCGAGTTTCAAGTTTCCATTTGTTTCAAGGCCCCTCATTGTGTTTGGTCTCCATACTGGGTTAGGAAATACACGTTCACATAAAATGTATGCTTATCAAATCAGTGAGTGCTATCTCATTCGTTATCCTATTGCTTATGAACCAAAATGTACCAATATTAGCGAGATGCACCAACGAACGATCGATCAATCGACTCGATTTAGATATTTATGTGTGCGAGTTTTTTTATCAAAAGGTGACTGACCGCTTTTTCACTCTCTTGCCGTCTTTCGCGTCTTCCTGTCCGCATGTATTCTAACAGCCTGATATGTGAAAAGGCGATTCAACCCGACAAAAAAAAATCGTGGTGCGTTACATAAATCTACCGTCTGAGATGGATCTTTCTTCCAGGTAAAAAGAACACTGCGCCGACTCGAAAAGTTTTACATATTCGTTTCAGTATTTCCATCTGTGTCATTCCGTGCTGATTTAATTTTGTCTACTAAAGGAGTGTCCTATGTGAAGTTGGTCGGTGCACGTTCTTTCGACATCCGTTTACTACGCCATCGGAGGCGTAACTAAGTTGAACTACCTTGGCCTTGCTGCTTTCCATATTAACCCGGCCTTGCTGAAATGCACGATCGAAGGGAAATAGTACATTGGCCCTCTTAAATCAATTCCCGTATACGATCCAGAAAATCATGGGTTTATGTCGGTGAGATTGACTTGAAGCCGTTGACACTACTATGTACTCAGGACAACAAGTCTCTACAGAAGAAGCCTTGAGCCATTCTGGCGCAGCAAAGCCATTCGATTGTGTGTGGTCGCCAGCAGTATGCTCCAAGGATATTCCACTCAAATGCGATAGTGTACAATGAGGCTGCAAGGCCGCAACTGAGCCGTGGCGACGCTAAAAGTTGAGATAATCTACTTGCTCTCAGCAGAAACAGCTTCATCGACAGCGGCAGACGCATCGGCCTCCTGCTGTGCCTGTCGGACAATTGTAGCGATATAAATATAAACAATATCACAAACAAACAAAAATGCTGGCCACCAACGCCGGTAGAGAATAGTATTGCAAAAATAACACAACCGCAAAGAGAGAAAGTGACTACCCAAAAAAAAAAACCCCCTCAAGATTTTTTTACCATGTACAACAAACCATCGTGCGAATAGGAAGCTTTGTGTAAATTTGGTAACACGCGAATATACGGAGGACTTTACCTTTGGAAATTTCAAGCCTTTGGATTCCAGTTGTTGACGGACTTTTTGAAATTCCTAAAACGGGAAATAAAATTGGAGATCAATACTCCGGAAGATAACCCAAATTCGACTCCAACAATGTAACCACCAGGAAAGCTGAAGATCATGCTACGTGTATATGTACAATGTACTGACCCCATCGCTGTATGAAGCCTTATGCAGAGCGAACACAAAAAGAGGCATTACCTTGATCAGTGCAGCTTCTTCGCTACCCTCGACCTTTTCTTGTAAGTTCTTGACCGTGAACTCAGGCAGCTTCTGTTTGCAGAACTCGGGAGCATTCTTCAATTGGCTGACAGCTTCCTTGAGCTTTCCTGAAGGCGAAAATGCAAGTGGTTAAGATGGGTTTGTAAATGATACCATCAAACAACTTTTAGATCTTACTAGTTCAACAAAGTGTGATTATACTATGAAAAGAAGAGTACTGATATATTCCAGGAGTCAAAGGATAAAAACTTGAACAAAAACTTAAAAACAAAAACTAGAACTCGCAGTCTCCTATCCTATAGACTATGGTGTAGAGAACTTCAATTCGATCAAACTATAAATCGGGCCTCATGTACCTTGATTTGTCAGCGATTGTACGCGAATGCCGAAAGAGCTTTGGTTTTCTTCCAATCCCATAGCTTTGATTTGATCGAGAATCTTCCTTGCCTTTTTATTTTGCCCAAATTTCAGAGCCGCGGCGCTTAGTGCAGTAATCGCTTGAATTGGCATCTATACAGTAACAAGTGTAGTGATGACCATCAATATTTTAGTACCCCCAATTTATGGTCGGTCAGGGCTGTACAACAGTCAGTCAATTGCAGAGACGTTGAGATATTGAAGCATCATTCCAAAAGAACGATCTGTTGACCACCGTAATGTATCAAGAGACGATCGTGCAGAATAACCACATACAGAAAACTCTCGTACAATATATATTATTTGCTTCGTGAAGTCAAACATAGATCGAGATTTTCTGCCGAACGATGGAAGTGAATACAAACAAGGATGCACAAAATCACACAATCAGCCCTACACGATTATTGCCCACGTGCAGTCCATCTTACACAGCGCCAAATATACACCTACGAGCGTTCGGAAGGGATTGTAATCCACTCATCTCTATTGTAGAAGCTGCGAGCTTCGAACACCAATACGCAGGCATGAGAAACTAACTCGATCTACCTCACAAAGTACACTTTCTGATACTGATCAATCCAACTATAGATGCAAATTACCCCTTACCTTGCCGGGAGTCGGGTTAACAATGACCGCGTCATTGAAGAGCCCGAAAACCACGTTAAAGGTCTTTTCGTCGTGCGAAGCCGCTTTGCAAAGGGGCGGCAACTGAAGTAAAATGCCCCCCTGTTTATGTTCGAGGTATTGAAGGGCGACGAGACATATTAGTTTAGACAAGCCTTACAACGGCGATCCAGCTAATAATAATCAGGGAAGCAATCGAAGGCTAAGATAGGATGGTACTCACCTTGTAGTTGTCTCTATGCTGCTCAAATACTTGCAACATTGACTCGATACGGCCACCCTTGCGCAGGGTACACAGACTAAGACGAAGCCCAGGGCGATCCGGGAACACCCGGTACTTCTGTGTCTGCGTAAGCAGTTGTTCTAGGATGTCCATAGCGCCATCCTGCAGAATATGAAACCATTCAATTTTACAGCCATAAAAACACGGACGTCAAAACTTGAACAATCTAATAAATTGCTCAGCAGGAACACAAGTAAATTTAAATAGTGGTTATTTGTCCCGAAGCTGAAGCTCTGAGAGTCGACCCCTATACACCAATAACCATCGACAAATGACATACCAATTCGCTGAGTTTACAGCACTTATTTACCAGCCTAGTGGTAGTGGCCATAGAAAGGTGCTGTTTTCGACTACGATAGTCTTCCAGAGCAAGCAGCAGCTATTGGTAGTGAGAGAAAAGGTTTGAATACGACGACGAAATAAACCAGATATTTCTCGGCCAAACAAAGACTCGGTATAAAAATGACTTCAAGGTACGAAAGCCATAGATTCTTAAGCCGCAATATCAGTCGCTACTTGACATAATCAATGAAAGTAGTCTAAACACACCTTCTCGAGATCCTCTTTAGTCGATGTAGCGTTGATTATGTTTTCAAGAAAACCTTGCCTTACTTTGTAATTGTTCGCAAGATGGTTTTGCAAGGGCTGATAATGGTCAAGAGGTTCTGCATGGGTTGCTGCAGAGTATGCGCGCGTCTGAGCCTGCCGAAAAATGAAGCCAAGATGAAATAATGATTCTTCATGACTAGAGCACTCAATTGGGGACAAGTCCTCCCGCATGTGGTCGGTCAAATAAAAATGCAGCTAACTACACAGTGCGAAATATTTCAAATACAATCAACGAACGTATTAAAGATCGGTTTTAACATTCATATACCAACAAGGAACATCACTAATTGCTCATAGTTCATTGTACTGGTAGCTATAGCAATCGAAAACGATGAGTTCATATGAAGTCCCCTATAAACGAATACGAAAAGGAACGAGATGTGATGGATGACAAGGGCATTCATTAATCCTGATACAATCAATCAATCAATCAATCAATCAATCAATCAATATATATGTGTATGTGTGTGTATGAAAATATAAATATATATGTATAGATATACATAACACACATACATAGAAACATAGATACATGCATGCATGCATAGATACATAAATAGATACATACATCTTACAAAGATACATACATAATATATATATATATATATATATACATATAAAAATCTGTATACATGTATGCATGTATATATATATGTATATATATAAATAGATACATGTACTTGTATATATACAAATATATATATATATTTCATATATATATATATATGCATACGTGTATATGTATATATATATACATACATATATATATATATATATGTGTGTGTGTGTGTGTGTGTATGTGTGTGTGAACATATATATATATATGTGTGTGAGTGTGTGCATATATATGTATATACATATATACATATACATATATATATATATATACATATGCATACAAGCATATATATATATATATAAATATATATATACATATGCAGATTTATATTTATATATATGCAT